TATAAATAATCAAGATTATGTTCCAATGATAGTGTTAGCTGATACTTATATAAAGCTTATAGCTAATTGTGATAGTTGGAGCTGTGTGTCAACTTGGCTGGACCACAATTCTGTGTGGTTTAAGCTGTTGTGATGTGGTTATTCCCATGATGGGATCAGATGATTATGTTTTGAGCAGCCAATCTGTTGAAAGGGAGTTTCCCTAGGGGTGTGGCCTGCTTCTAGTATATCTATGGACATCCTGGGAAAAGAGACATTCTTCTGTGGATCGGGATTCTGTTGTGCTGCCTACAACTGTCTGTGAGCGAAAAATCCACCAGTTGGCCTGGAGATCTTGGATTCATCATTTGTTGGAGTCAACAGCCCGTACACTGCCTGCCAACTTTGAGCTCCTCAGCCCCTGCAGCTGCAAGAGTCGGGAAAAGCCTCCAGCTTGACGTTTGATCCAAGAACTTTGGACTTGTCAGCTTCTATAAATGTGTGAGCCATTTTCCTAAGATAAATTTTTTTTTTCTCTCTCTCTATAAGCTTTACTGGTTTTGTTTCTCTAGAGAACCCAGTCTAACACATTTGGTACTGGGAGTGGTTCTAGAGAGATAAAATCATAAGGATGGGCTTCCTAAATTGGTTTTCCAGTTTGATTAATCACAAAGACACTAGTGTCCCTGTCTCTGTTAGTAAAGAGGGCCCCGCTAATCCATAGTGTGAGGAGACAACATTAACATGCAAAATAGCACCACCAATAGATCAAATACTTGTGAGAAGGGACGCTTTGGGTGATTGCATATTTGATACTTTTTTGCAATTTTGTCAGCATGAGGAGTATAAGGAAGTTGGTTGGTTGGTCCTACTTACACTAGACAAAGTGGTGAAAGAGCAAGATGAGCTCAGAGCTACTGAGCCTCGGCTTAAGCAGTGCATAAAAGACCTCAGTGTTTCCAGTTGTGCTCTGAAAGAATGTCTTATATCTTCCAGTAACAGAATTGATATTGCTGAAAACCAAACCCAGAGTCTTATTGTAAGGGTGGCTGAATTACAATGACAATTAAATTGCCAACCCAGAATGGTGTCTGATGTTAAAGTGAGGGCATTGATTGGGAAAAAATGAGATCCTGAAACCTGGAATGGGGACATATGGACAGATAGTCAGGAAGATCAGGATATGGAGCCTCTAAATTCTGTTGAATACCTCCCAGCTGAAGGGATTACTGTAAAACCATTATCCCCTCAACCTCAGTTTGATGGGATTAGCCAAACTGGTCCTGCTGGGCCATTGCCTGAGGCAGAGGCCATGGAAGACATTCCTGAATGTTCTCAGGAACTTCCCCAACCACCTATTGTCACTGCTAGACCTATAACTAAAGTCAAGTCCAAGCGAGCCCCAAAAGGTGAAATAGAAAGTGTGACTGAGGAGGTGGTACGCTACACCCAAAAAGACCTACTTGATTTTGCTAACATGTACA